CTGAACACAGCACAATAAAAGGACAGCTACCTGGAAAGATCACTTTGACAAATCATAAATCTACTTTTTAAATATCCCAACTTCATGCTACTTCTCACTGCCCTTTGAAACTTCACTACCCTCCTTCCTGACTTAGAAAACAGCACATGAACAGTGCAGTGTTGCCTGATGGCTTTCCAAGGTGACCATAGCAGTAATAACACTGGTCACGCACCCTTCTCAGTGCTTCACAGAGGCGATCACACTGAGCCCAGATCCAGCACAGTGGTACTGTTGTCACCTGCATCTTACACACCAGGAAACTGGAGGTCTGAGAGATTCAGCTGTCACAAACACAGCAAGCGGCAGGGCCCAGGTTCAGACCCAGGTGATCGCGTCCAGGACGAATCCTAACCTCCACCTGCTGCAAACAGCAGAGCAGACAGGGAAGGGCGGCCAGAGGCTCTGGATCCACCTAGGTGGAGAGAATGGCCAGATTGGTGTGGTCTTTGAAAAGTATGTCCACTTGGAAAAAGCCAGCACTTCAGGGTAGCTGTCGATCCTGTCACCCATGGTGCAACAGGGGAAGAGCGGGCGTGCGCGCTTTCTTCTGCCACAAGCCTCTCTTTTCTCCCATTGCTCCCTCCCCACTTGTCTTCATGATGTCCAACTGCATGGTTACAGATGCCTCTGCTTCCTGCACAGATCTTTACAAGGAGAAAAGGACATCGTATCAAACTTCCCCTGGGGGCGTTAAAATTAGGAGTCTTCTAAATCATGCTACTAGCGAGACTGCAAACACTTACCCTAGGTGGCTTTGGTATGGGGTCAAATCTATTAACACTGCACACTACACTGCATGTTTTACGTAGTCTGTGGTAGGGTTTGCCAAACAGCAAACATGGGCTGGAGCGGAGGGGTCTCTGGGAGACTGACAGTGAGCAAGGCTCTCTAGGATCCGGGCCTCCATTCTGAAGTCGGCTCTGCCACTAGGTGGTGATGTGAGCTCCAGAACGAACAGTCCTGGCGTCTCAGCTGCACCCACAGTGAACCGTGAACCGAATGAGCGGAGTCAGCTACCTCTACGCTCCTCAGGTGGGTATAACGTCTTGGGACTCTGCGCGTACAATGACTACTTTTAAAAAGCAGAGCTTTAAAGTTACTATTTTTATGGCATATTGTTATTAACAGAAACAATAATCTGCAGAGTTTGTGCTTTTAATCAAAAGGCGGGGCATGGGAGGAAGGGGGAGGACTCGTAGTTCAAGTGCTACAGGGCAAGCCAGGCGCTGGGTAGGAACACTGGGGCAAAGGTCAACCTGCTTCCCCTGCAAAGGGATCTCTTCCCTAAACTACTGAACAGGTGTGTTCCTGACGGTACCCACTTAGAGGGAAGGCTGCATAGCTAATCATCTCGTAGTAACTCCAGAGTCCGCAGGGCCAATCCTATTCTGACCAATCAACTTATCTTCCCCAAACATGCACCTATGTGTGACTGTGAGGGCGAAATTACAAGGCCAAAGGTACGCTCCTGGCTGCACAGTGCTGACACCCACGTCAGCCTTCGCCCCTCCTGCAGGGGTGTAAATATTCCTTCCCTGCCCTCGGACATATGCTTAATGCTCCCTTGAACAAAGGGAACAAAGAACTTGTACCACCTGAGTTACAAAACTGTTATACTAGCTTGTTTCAGAACAGCTCAGTTCAGTAGCTCACCCGAGAAATAGAGATGTGCTGCCTTGAAAGTGCATTTTAATCCCGTTTGTTCTTAACTCTGATTAAGTTCTAAGTCCTCTATCCAACTTCCTTACAGGAATCCTAGTTCCCTGACAGGAGGAAGGCAGAATACCCTCTTGGAGAAATTACCAGTAGTTTAAATTAAGCTGAACACAATTAACTACACGTTAACAGCCCCTTTTTGCCTTTGTATAGTACTGCTCCGTAGTCAGGCTTTGCTCTAGTACTGGCAGCGGACGACTTCCTGTCTAAGGCGGAAGAGAGACTTCTGCACTCGCCGGCCACCCTGCCTGCTCAGAGGAGGCCCCTGAAGGGCGTGGGTGCAGGTGTCACGGAGCCATCCGGGGTGGCGGACTGCCAAGACTCCAAGGCATCTCAGTGCCCTGGTCAGGTCTTCAGGTTGGGGATTTTATGACTTTGTAAATAGGATTTTCCACAGAACTCAGTCATGTGACCTTGTATGTGGAACAGAGTTTGATAATAAAAATGTTTTGCTCTGCTTTAACCTGCCACGTGGATCATTCCCACTCTGATCCTTACTACAAGGGTTAATAGCTGATGGTCAGTGTGTATGGCATTGTTTTCAAGGCTAGTGCAAAATAGAATAAAATATATTTAACCATTAGCTATCAATATGCAATTTAAAAAATTATGAGTACACAGATAAATCTAGAACTAAAAAAAGTACAGCGTTCTTCTGAGAAACAGAGAAGATTCTTGCAACTGCACAGCTGCCAGGCCCTGGAGCTTTCGGTGAGGACCCTGGCGGGCAGCCTGTAGGGCCCCACCCCTCCCTCCACGGTGGGGACCCACGGGCAGGTACAGTCTGCCTTCTGCCTCTGGTACTCCTCACAGCTGCTTGGAGTACAGGAAACGGGAAAGTGAAATACTCATCCACCAGATGGGATTAGGCCCCAATCGTACAGGGCAAGGCGGACTCACTATGGAGCCCCCCAAAAGCAAGAAATACATCATCATTTTTGAAGAGGGGTAGGATAGAGGGAAAATGGACTATTTCTCTAAAAAATTCCACAGTAATGTCAATGTTACATTATTCCTACACTGTTTTTTAAAGCTAAGAACCACTAGAATATAAATTCATAAAAATAAATACATAATCCATATGTACTATAAAGTTCAGGGAAATTCCAGAGTAAATGTATTTACAAAGTTTTCACAGGGGTGGGGTAAGGAGAATCTGAATTTTAATTTGAAATGTCACACCCAAGATTTAGCACTCAGCATGCGTACTAGGACTCAGCCTCTGTGAAGGGCAGGAGGCAAGGTCCTGGCGGAAGGAACAGGCGCTCCCCAGGTACACATGTGTTCATAATTTCCTGCAGCACCAGACAGGACTATGTCAGCAACCACAGCCCAAGCTCCCATCATGCCAGACCCACTGCTACCATCTAAGTTTTAAACTGTGAAAGCATCAGTGCACTCAGCTGTAACAAAGAGCCTGAGCGTATGCAAGGAGAACCAGAAAATATGAGACAAGCAAGCACAGCACCTGGCAAGCTCGCTCGGTCCATGGCAGGACCCAGAGCGCCCCTCGCATTCTAAATAAGCAGAGCCAGGGCTTTATCCACAACAGGCCACCTCTTCGACCTCCTCACACCACTCACTGCATCCTTCCAGGGTAGCATGATGCAAGGGAACACGTCTGCCTCAACTAATCTGACCCAGGTCTTCCCACTGGCCTCTGACTACTGAAGCTGATGATGCTGGTTCTGGGGTTCTTGCAACGCAGAATTTTAAGTCCCACCACTTTACGCCAGCCTGGGCAGTTTTGAAAACATCTAGGTGTTCGATGCCAGCGCCGCACTTACACAGAGGCCCCATAAATTCCCTTTACAAGGCAGGTTGCCGCCTTTCGAGCTGGAGGCAGACAGGGAGGATCCAGTAAGGACGGGGACCTGTGCCCTCAACACGCTGTCCTTCGTGTACAGCTCCGTCCAGCACTTCTGCTCTAAACGCCCCTTTACTCAGGCCGCTCAAGACCAGCAGCTTTTTAACATCCGTGTATCTTTCTGTTTAAAATCTCTTCCTCTGCGCCCTGTGATCTGACTGGTGATGAAAGGACGAACTACTCTTCCAAAGTGAGGGAAACAGGCAGAGGCAGAGGGCCGGGTTAATTTCCTCTGGTTTGAATCGTTACATTTCAGTAGCCCGGGGTGGGCGTGGGAGCCATTGGGAAAGAGCAGAGCTTCCCTCCCAGCTCCTCGTTTGGCGCTCTGTTAGGGTTTCAGGGAGAAGGGAAACTGCTGGAGAGAAGTTGCTCAGAAGGGAATGTTTCCCCAGCCCGGGTCCTGTGCCTGAAGGATCTCCCAGAAGCAGGGAGCTGCACTCTCACAGGAAGGCCTGGCCCAGGAGAGAGGAAGGCTCTCTTCCAGGCTGAAGGAACCTAAATCCACCTGAAGCTGCTCAGTGACAGCTTAGCCGAATTCACCCGGTGTCACATTAAAGTCACAACTCCCATGACAATCGCTCTGCCTCCATCCTGCAGCCGCATAAGCTAAATACCTCTACTGCCTCAGATTCCGTCTCTTCTCTGAAAACGGGACTGGGATGCTTCCTTTCTGATACATACACAAGATTAATCTTCAAGGAGACTCTGTATTGTTTTTAAATTGGAAAATAAAAAGAATAAAAAAACCCGATTTCCATTCACAATGTATTTTGGAAAACTGAATCAAGATCTGAGGTGACAGGATCTGATGTGGTGCCTACAGTCTGCTCTGGGCAAGATCCGGGCTGGGAGGTCTACAGAGCCTGGCCAGGCACACGGCGGAGGGGATTGGACAAGTCCCGGCTTCCTGGCTCAAGTCCGGACAGGTCCTGGGTCTCTGGGCCCTCGCATTTTCCTCTTGGAAATGATTTTTAGGACCTCGTTCAGCCCTGAGCTGGTCACGAACTAATCACGTGTTACAAGCTCCAACTGAAAATTACCAGGAAGAAATTACAGAGGACTTGTCAAAGTCCATGTCCTGGGGTGAAGTTTGTCATCGTCGTGCTGCCATGGAGACAGACCTGTTGCATCACGTGGAGCACTGTTTCAGACCCTGCCCGAGAAACGCAAGGGGCGTGGCTGGCTGTTCATTTTCTGTCTTTCTTCTAATCTATCTGTTTTGGGTAAACACTCGTCTGGTCTGCGAGCTGAGAGGGGGCGCCCTCAAGTTTCACCTGTGCGGCTCCCAGGGAGCTCCTCCCGCCCTCCCTCCGGCAGGCCGCGGGCGAGGGCAGGCGCAGGGCCCGACGGCCGACGCAGCGCCGCGCCCACTCACCTCGGCGATCCGGGCCCGCTGCTCGCGCGCCGCGGCGTCGGCCGGCTCGCGGTTGTCCACGCCCACGGGCGGCGCGAAGTGCAGCACCGGCAGCCCGCGCTCCGGCTCCGACTCGCGCCGCTGGTCGCGGGCCACCTCCGCCTTGTCGCGCAGGATGTCCCTCCGGATCTCCTCGGGCGGCTTCTGCAGCGTGTCCTTGGCCTCGCGCAGCGCGCGCTCGTGGTTCTCGCGGATGCGGGCCAGGGGGTCCTGGGCGCGCGGGCCGGGGCCGGGGCCGGGCCCGGGCCGGGGGGCGGCGGGCGGCGCGGCGTGGAACAGCACCCCGCTGAGCAGCTTGGAGGGGTCGGGCAGGAAGAAGATCGCGCCGAAGCACAGCGTGGCGAAGGCGCTGAACACCAGCAGCAGCGCGAACTTCTCGCTCAGGCGGAAGGCGGCGGCGCCCGCGCCCTTCCTGCCGCCCGCGCCCGCGCCCGGCGCCCCTGGCCCGCGCTCCGCTGGGCCCCCGAGCAGCGGCAGCAGCGGCCCCGCGGGCATCGTAGCCGTCAGCGCATGCGGGGCTCCACGGCAGGCGGGGCAGGCGGCCGGGCGCGCAGCCTGCGGGACGGACGGGCGCGGCGGTCGGGCGGGGACCCCGCACCCCCGACGGCCGCGCCGCGCCCGGCCGGGAAGTTCCGCCGGGCTCTGCGGCCCCGGGCTGCCGCGAGCGCCGGGCGCGCCTGCGAGCGAGGCAGCCTGGGCGGTCAGCCCCGAGCCCCGGCGCCCCGCCCGAGGCCCATGTCAGTGGCTCCCGCTCCTCCGCGGCTCCCCCGCTGCTCCGCAGGCGCCGAGCTGCACCGCTGCTGGAGCGCCGAGCTCTACCGCGGCCGGCTCGGGGCGGGGCGGGGCGCCGGAGTGACAGCGCGGCCGGCCAATGCGCGCAGCGCGGGGTCCCGCGGGGGCGGGGCTGGGGCGGAGGGGCGGGGCGGGCAGGCGCTTACGGGAAGCGGGGCGGGGGAGGGGCCGGGCGCGGAGGGCGGGGCCCAGGGACGTCACCTGGACTGGGCTCCGCGGGGTCCCGGGTGCTGGGTCCTGGGTGGCGCAGAAGCGCTCCGGGAGGCTCAGGACCCCGGGTCCCTGGACCCCTGGACCCCTGGCTTTCTAGACCCCTGGACCCCTGGTTCCCCGGCCTCCTGTACCCCTGCATCCCTCGGTCCCTGGACCCCTGGACCCCCGGATTTCCTAGACCCCCGGACCCCTGGATTTCCTAGACTCCTAGACCCCTAGCCTCCTGGACCCCTGGACTCCTGGGCCCCTGGAACCCTGTACCCTGGACCCCTGCATCCCCTGAGCCCCCCGGACGCCCTTGGCCCCTGAAGACAGCGGACCCCTGCCGCCCCTGGATTCCCCACACTCCTCGGTCCCTGAACCCCGAGCTCCCTGGCCCCGCGGGGCCCTGTCCCCCTCCGCGCCCGCTCCCCTCCTGCCCGAAAAGTTGTGCGTCCCCGCCGGCCGCCGACTTTCGGGCGCCCTTACCTCGTGGCAGTTGCTTAGATTTTCCATCGCGAGCGGCTTCAGCTGCCTGCGCCCCGGCCGCGCGCCGAGCCCGAGGAGGAGGCGAAGTCTGGGCCGCTCCTCCGCGGTGACGGCCGGGTCGGGGCGCTCGCCTAGCTCGCAGCCTCGCTCCCGTGGCGCCCGGCGCTCAGGGTGCCATGGAGACGGCGCCGCCCCCGGCCCTCGGGGTGGGCTGGGCGGGGCACCTGTGGCCGGCCGCGCGCGTGTGCGCGCCTGCGTGTGCGCGCGCGCGTGGTGTTGGGGGACAACATGGTTTCCCCAAAAGTGTCCCCGCTCCCCAGTTCCTCCCGCGGCGGCATCAGCGCGGCCGTCTCACCCCAGGGAGACGACCCTGCCTCGGCCTCGAAGTCCGCTCGCAGGACCGCGCCCCTTGGGAAAGCGGGAGGCCCCAGCGCCCACGCGAAAGGAGCCGTCCTGCCCTCACGTCCTCTCTGGTGGAAACGGCGGCTCGCGAGGCCGACTTCGGGACCTGTGTTTGGGTCCCTGCAAGAAATCCTGCGTCCAGGAGAGTGCAGTGCATCCAAGCAGGGCAGCGAACTAGGACTGGCTCAGAAGAAAGCGAACTTCTAAGTGATGGCAAGGTAATCTTCGCCTGGAGTGCGTTTGCGGGCGGGGATCGGGCCAAACGTTAGACTCTCGGGAAATAACGCTGGTTTCCAGTCAGTTCGCGCGAACTCGGGCGCGTGGACGGCGCTCGGGCCTGGAGGACCCCGGGCCTCGGTGGTTACCCGAGAACCCAGCGCCCTGCAGTCGTCGTTTCAAAAGTTGTCCTGGCAATGGGATTACTTCTTGTAGCCACCGAAACATGTAGAGACTTCAATTGTAAGTGAATGTTACTGAGATTTCCAGAAAGGTGGGAGGATCCACCTTCAGGTACCTGCAAAGTGGGGGTGAAGGGCAGTCGTGGGTTAGCCCTAACCCTAAGCCTGGCCGGAATTTAGTCCACCGCTGCCTGCAGTGGCAGAATTCAAACCGAGCACGGGATCTGAGAGTGACCTCCCCAAGGGCCCTAGATTTGATTCATCTATATTCTTTCTAAATATTACGCAGTGCTCCTGTAACTGCAGTTCGCCTTCATGAAGGTTATTTTTAGACCGATCTCTTATTATCTGTATTTTTATAAGTCAGAGGTTTCTTGTGATCGACGCCCGGTGTAATAAATCGCTCCACAAGACCCTGGCTTGGCTGGCTCGCGGTTCACATTCAAGGTACCAGGTGTGTTGCGCGTGACGCTCTGTCCCCGGGGAGGGGAAGCAGCGAGCGGCCCACGCGTGGCAGGCGGAAGCTGGCCCTTGGCCCTGATTTCACCGGCCAAGCAGTTTACATTCTGTTGTTGAAACAAATGTTTTGTACCAGAGGTGAGTGCCGATAAGGGTGACTGGTTCTGGTTTCTCAGGTCCTAAGAGCTGTCTGTCCCAGAGTCCGGACTCCCGCCTCAGCTCCCTGAAGAGACGCGCGCTCCCCCTGAACACCTGGCTGCTTTCTCATCACGTAGTCAGAGGGAAATGGCAATCTTAGTAATTTTGTGGATTTTTTTCTTCAAATCCTTGCTTTTCTTTTTCTAATTTGGTCAGTACTTCCTCGTGAAGTTCAGTTCCCTTCTACCTTTGGCATGCTGGTTGTAAATTAATTCTTTCTTTTTCCTTTTTTCAGTGCTGTGTCTCTTTCTTTCTTTGACAATTTTTAAATGTTTGTGCTCAAAATAACATCTTTAGAATTGAGTCACTTTAGGAAACCCTGATTGTAGTCCCAGATAACACCCTAAAGTACAAGGAAATCCCCAGTTTATTTGGCTATTTGGATTTCACTGCTTTTTCATTGAACAAAAGGTAGATTGAACTTTTATATTAACATGACTAATGATATAATAATTATGAGCATGATTACAGAGGGAAATTGGCAATATTTTAGTAAAACTGGTAAATCAGTACTTTTGTAAAAGTGTTGTTTTCAAAAGTTAAAGTGCAAAAGCCCTTCTTTTCTGTTAGTCTGTGTTTGCAGTCGGTAGCGATTGCATTCCTCGTGGGGAGTTTGTGCCCATCTGTCACACAGCTTAATTCTCTTTTTGTCTCCTTCCCCGCCCCTCCCTTCCTACTCCCTCCGATTCTTGTTCCCTTCCCGTTTGCAGAAATTGCATTTTTTGCTTTTTTCAATTCTCTTTTTAAAAATCCCTTTCCCTTTCTCTGCCCCTTCATCTCTTGTTCCATTTCCCGTTTGAAAAAGATCTATTTCCTATTATCCATCTTTTACTTCGCTTTTTATTTATATTTTGGGTTTCTTGAGTAAGAACAACCATGTGGTATTTAAATTTGTGTGTTTTATTTCACTTAACATTACCATTGTGAAGTAAATGTATTTACCTACAAATGCCTGAAGTTTATCCTTCTTTATGGCAGAGTAGTACTCCACTCTGTAAATACAACATTTTCTTTATCCATTCATCTGTTGATGGACACATAGGCTGTTTCCAAGATTTAGCCACTATGAATTGTGCTGTTATAGACATGGGCGTGTGTGTATCACAGTGGTGACTTTAACTCTTCCTGGATAATACCTAAAAGCTAGGTTGAATGGAATTTCTCGTTTTCAGATTTTTGAGGAATCTCCATACTGATTTCCAGAGTGGTTGTGACATAGGGCACCAAGTAATCCAAATAAGCAAAATAATCCAAACAAGGGAAATATAACCCTCAACCTGCTAGACATTCAAAACACAAGCTCGTGTTCTCTAAAATGGAAGAATGAATTCTACGAACAAAAGAGATTAAGAGTAGGAACAATTTATTGAGGGAGAGACAGCTCCTGACTGAGAGGAGGGAACTCCCAGAAAGTGGGTTGTCCTGGACCCCATTTTCCTGGAGTTTGTGTGGAGCAAAGCCACGAGGTGAGGCAGGTACCAACGTGGGACAAAACTCTAGGCAACGAATAAGATCCAGTGGAAATTCACAAGGTGGGCAGGAGGTGAGACAAAACTGTGGTCACCCAGTAAGAGTACAAGGAAGTGCCCAGGTGATACTGATTAAGTGGGCATCAGCTGGGAAAACAAGTCACATGGCAAGTGTGCACAGAACGAACAAGGAATTTCTGGCAAGGAAATGGCCGAGGGAATTTCTGGTTCCCCTTGCGGTGATTGACGGCTGTTTAGAATATCCATCATTGCCATTCATCTCTAGGGAAAGTAGTACGTGTATTATGTTTTCTTTTTTATAATACAGACTTCAGTGAATGTGTCGCGATTGTCTTTTGTATCGACTCCTTCAGGGCCTGCCCTGTCTAACAGCCTATGTGATAGCTGATTAACTTAGCTATATAACAGTTGTATTAGTTTTCATTCCCACCAACGACATAGGAGTCCTTTTCCCTGATGGCCTCACAGCATTTGTTATGATTTGATTTCTCGGTGGTAGCCATTCTTTCTGGAGTGAGACGGAAGTTCAGTGGCATTTCAGCTTGCATTTCTCAAATGGCCAGAGATACTGAACATTTTTTTCATGTATTTATTGGCCATAACACATTTCGTAATAGGTAGTTTCTACCAGATAGTAGTTAAAAGTTCATGAGAGAATCTTGAGGATTTTTGTTCTTTGATTTTAAAAAAAAGTAATCTAATGAAAATGAATTTAATCTATTCCACTTTAGATTTCTGATACAAATCTTCCTATAGGAGATATTCTAATTGTCTTTGAATTCCAGGTCAGAATAGGTTTTTGCTTTTATTTTTTAAAAATTAAAACAATATGCATGAAATGCTTTACTGTGATGACAATACTCTTCAAATTTTAATATTTAAATGGGCAAACTTTAAATTTTACCTAAAGCTGAATGGGTGAGTTAACCGAAGTTTTAGAGGAAACGCTGAGTGATACTGGGGCTGCAAGTAGACTCTATGATCCTGTCAGGACCCCAAGGTTTTGCCTTTCCTTAATTTGCTTGGAACCGCTTGAAGGTCAGGGTTATTTTCATCTACTTCCAATCCCCTGGTGGCGGGGCTGCTACAGTCTGAATGTCCCTGTCCTTGTAGGGCTCTGTTGAAGATTTGTTTATATTTTGAATGCTCATTTCATAATTATTAGCAGTCCCAAACTTAAAAACCTTGTGTCTCATAAGTATCTGTGAAAGGCTTTTTGGAAAGTTCAGAGCACCCTTCTCTGTAGACAAAGTTGTGACTGGTGCCTTGGCTCGGTAACCTCTGCAAAGACGGAGACCTGGGGTGTGACCAAAGTCAGGAGAAAAGCTGCTCGTGTTAGTAATCAAAGCAGCATGGAATTAGGAAGTATTTTATTCATCTTGAATGTTGGGGCCTGAGGAGAGGCCTTGTTTTTGAAAGAGGAGACGCGATATTTGTTTCGGAAATATTCTGAAGCAATTTATGGGGTCAGAAAGGTGTGCAAAAGCTCTCAGTTCACCATGCGCATCTCTCTTAGTTTTTCTTGAGGAATATCACTAGTAATTACCCTATGGTATTTTCATTTTGCTTTGATTTGATTAACTGAGGGGCTTAAAGAAAGAGGCACATCAGGAGGTTTTCCTGAGGGCATGGGCTTGAATGACAGAGGATTATCCCCAGGGCTGCTGTCTGAGCTGGCGACCAGGATGAAAGTCAGGGATACTCGTAACTTGTTCCTTTGTCATGTTGCCCTAGCTAGTAGAATAAGTCTTTTAACTCATGTGTCCTGTGCAGTGGGCATTCAAGGAATTTAAGTCCATTTCTTCTCTCCCCTCAAAGGGCAATTACGTCGGGCGTGGTGAGGGAAGTGCTGTGGGATTCTAAAGAGGAAGAGCATGTGTAATACCTAGGGTTTGCATTCCCTGAGAAGAGCGGCCTCGGACAGACGGAACACACCTGAGCTCCTTTTCACCCCTTACCCTGGATCTGGTCCCCTTCCCCTCTGAGGAAGATCTATCTCCCTATTTCCTATTATCTATCTTTCATTTTGATTCTTATTTAAACTTTTCTCTCCATTCTGTCTCATAAAAGATCATATGGTTTTCTGGAAAAACAAAACGAACTCAGAAAGTGAAAAAAATTTGTAATACATTATTCTGGCCTCTTGGAATTTTTTTCATGAAATAAAGTGAAATGAAACCACATGTGTTTGTTCGTATTTTGGAGAAACCGTCTACAACTGGAACATGACAGTGCTTGGCTTCCCACTTCCATTGCAAAACAAATTCACTGCCTCCACTCAGTGTCCGGAGTTCCTCATCATCCTCGGGGCGGAATGTGGCCCCAGCCCCAGGTTTCCGTAAATGCACGAGGATTCACCCATGGCTCTTTGTCCACTGAACTTAGTTTTCGGTGAGAGAAACACAGTGCCTGGAATGCACGGATCCATCTAGAGGCAAGGGCGAGAGGGGAGCTGTGTTCCAACAGCACTTGGGCGGATTAAACCGATGGGGCGTGGGGAGAGAGATGCCTGGAACAGTCCACATACGGCTTCTTTTAATGTGCTCAGTTTGAGCTGCTGCATCTGGCTCTTAGATCATAAACATTTTTATTGATTTATTTTGGTGGTGCTGAGTCCAGGGCCGCATGAGCGTGAGGCAAGCACTGAGCTACATCTCCAGCTCTTTTTCTGCTTGAGACAGGGTCTTGATAAGTTGTCCAGGCTCACCTCAAACTCGACACCCTCCTGCCTCAGCCACCCTCGTGACAAGGATGATGTGTGTATCCCACCACAGTTAGCTAAAACAATTTTTGAATGTTCACTGAGATCATTAGTTTCCCCAGTTCCTCCGGAATATTAAGTAGGACAGGTGTAATAATTCTACGATTAGGACACTGTGCTATCTTCAACAGTAACGAATAAGAAACAAAAATATCAATGTCTAGGAGTGTCACCCATTTTACATTCTTAACATTAAACTCCACATATATCTTCATGGAGACATTAACCTAAATGTTCTTAAAGTAAGTCGGCATTAGAAAGAATTTAGCCTACTTAAATAATCCTAGAGCTAATTTCTTCTGTTTCATAGGTATTCACAGGGTGGAATAGATTATTATAAGAAGAAAGTTAGGGAATTCACATTGGTATGAAACTTCTCAGTTACTAATGAGCGATACAGAAGGTGCCAGTAAGCACATTTTATTAAGTATCTGGCGTTTCATTGTTCCCCTCTCCTGTTAAAGTGTTTTTGCCATATACTCTGCTGGGAGGAGTGTAAAATGGTACAGCTGCTCTGGAAAGCAGGCCGGCAGTTCCTTAAACAGATAAATATAGTTACCACGTGACCCAGCAACTCTGCTTCTAGGTATACATCCAAGGGGATGAAGTGAGCGTGCGCCAGAAGCCTGTGTACGAACGTTCAGAGCACACGCTTCCCACCGCCCAGTGGTGGCAGCAGTACAAATCTCCCCCGCCTGGTGAGTGGATAGGCAAATGTGGTCTTTCCCTGCAAGAAGAATGATTCAGAAAGAAAGGATTGTGGTCCTGACATGCACTACAGTACCAATGAACCCTGAAAATACTGTTCCAAATTAAAAATGCCAGTCACCAAAGACCACGTGTGGTGTGATCCTACTTGTGAAATGTCTAAAAAGGTCAGGGAGAGAAGGTCGATTGGCAGCGTCTTGGGATGGGATGCCAGGTAGGTCATTGCTAAGGGAGAAGGTTTCTTTCTGGAGCCATGAAAGCCTCCTAAATTGAGGATGTTTGGGGCCGCATGGCTTGTGAATATACTTTTTCAAAACTACTCAATTGTATATTTTAGGTGTTTTGTGATATATGAATAATAGTTCAATAAAACTTATTAAAATGTTTTCCTTTCAGAACTGGTTTATAAGACTACTTGCCAAAAATCTTGGAATATCTTCAGTGAAAAGGGCTATAAAATAAGATGGAGTTCACATAGTATTAAATAGTAAAGTTCAAAAAATCAGTAAAGAATACAAAGTCAGAAACATTTTCAAAATCAGAAAAGAAAGCCACCATTTCTCAGCTTAAGAAATACATATTTTTGGTAAGTACTCAAACCAAAGGAGCGTTTTATCGGTTTTGAATCAGCTCCATGGTGTATCCGCATTCCTGTTCAGTAACACATAGACAAGTAACACATTTATATTTCTGATGTGTGGAAAGTTACTGTTCATGCCACTCACAGCACTGGAGTGACCAAGGTATTTCCAGAAGAACTTCACTTTTTCTTGTAGGCAGCTTTTAAACTTAACTAAAATGATGCATGGGAGAACAAGCTGGGTTACATAGCAGCAGATCTGGTTATAAAACTAGCTGTGACTTCTATGGATCACGCCTCAGTTTCTTCTGCAAAATAATGGAGACTCCTTTCCCCGAAAGGGTTGTTTTGAAGATCAAAGTAGGCATCACATGTGTCCTGGAGGACGTTCTATAACAATAAGGCATTATAATAACTTAATAATTCTTAGCAACTAATTCTTAAGATGAATACCATTTAATATTTGGTAATATGTATCATTGTTATTAAGCATTAGGAGAACATAAGATACAATGCTAGTTGAGAAGATCAACTAGATAAAATTTGTATCTACTGTCCATCTATTTCCAAGACCTTTAATTCAAAGTTAAAATATTTTGAAGAACTGAATACTTTTCTGTTTTAAAAGAAATCATAAGTATTTTGTAGGCTATATATTTATCTGTCTACAAGAACAAGTTACATTCTCCTGAAACTTCTTAGACACTCATATTTTATAAGTACTTTTCTATGCATCAAAAAATCTGTTTTACTTAATAGGAGTGAGCAGGCACATTTATATAGCTATAAATTTGTAACCGAATCTATATCTGACTCTTTTATGTTCACTAAGTTCTATGAAAATAAAAAACATTATCCTGTAAGTCTTCAATAAGTAATACCTTCAATAAATAATAATACTTCAATAATAATAATGCCAATAAATAAGTGTAATAAATAATACTGATAATTTTAATTTTTCTTGCTTTCCTTAGGATTTATGCCCCATTAAACTTACATTCCTTCTCTTTTAAACTGATTTTACTTTTAGCTTTTTATTGTTTTACATCCTTATCATAATTTAGTCAAGCTACAGAAAATTAAGACTTTATGAACCAACGAAAAGAAATTAAAATTCTTATAAAAACTTAAAATTCTTGTAATAACTTTTACATGTCTTTTAAAACACCATAGCTAAAACATAGTTACATGACCGCTGCTTCTGGATTTCCGCCTCCCCGCCCCCCTCGCTTCTTTGTGGTGAGGAAGAACTGCCTGGCCTGTCTGACCTGAAGGCAGGGGGACATGGAAAGCTTCTGCTGAAACTCAATGCTCTCATTTTAAAAATGGTAACGAACAGCAAATGTAAGAGATCGCATCATGATCTCTTTCTAATTAAGCACTCACCTGTTTATTTTAGCCATCTATTCCTTTGCTTTTCTTTGTGGCCAAAATCATTAAAAGTGGTAATTCTACTTTTTAATAAAAATTGGGAGAAATAAAAGTCACCAAGAAAAAAGGAAACCAGTTATTCTTATCTCACAGAAACAATCGCATTTAATATATTTTTACATCTTCCTTGTCATTAACAATATCCACATAAAATCAAAAATACTTGAACAGATACATGTAAAACAGCTAAATATTCAGGTACAATTTCTTTTTCAATCAATAGCATAGGCAATAATCTGAAGCCCAGGACAGCGCTCTTCTTTTGCCATGCCTAGTCTGCTTCCTTACGTTCAGATGTCCGAACTTTGTTCGGTTGACTACAAAGATGTAGCTGCTCTTCATTCTTTGTTATAATTTGCTTTCTCCTTTGCTTGGAAGTTTTTCGATTAAAAATGTTTGTTCTTGTTTTGTTTTGTGTTGCCCTTTCACATGCTGCATCCAGTTAGAAGAAACTGGCTCATTAATTCTTCCCATCTCTCAAAATAGATTTACTGTTGTTAATTTCTCCCTTCAACGTTTCTGTTTTTTCCAAAAGATAAAGATTTAATTGTGGGCCCTGCTCTCTGGGACCCTTACAGGACATTTCCGCTAACCACCATTAAGCAAAAATTGAGTTCTGTGTCATTTCACTTGTGCTGTTATTACCTGCAGCAAAGAAAGGACTTGGGAATCTGAAATGCAAAGATAAAATTCTCCGCAGCAGTTTTCAAGCCTAGTCCACAAGAAACTGAGCTATGGGAGCAATGAGTTGAAATTAGGCTGCAAAACAAACAGGACACATTAATTTCTACTTTTCCTCATTTTCTTCGCCGAGTGCAGGATAATACCTATTTTTGGAAGGAATGTCTCCCACCTGTGAGTGTGCATCTCAAGGACGTTTCGGCCTCAGCATCATTTCTAGTTCCTGAAGTTATCTCAACATTTTTCTTTAAAAAAAAAAAAAATCAGTTTTTTTTACCGCCCTGATGGCCCCGCAACCTTCTTAGTTTCTGTGGTTCATGATTTCAAAAAATACCTTGCCAATTTCAAAAAGTACCCTGCCAATTTTAAATAAAAGGCTGCCCGACGTCTCCTTTTCGTGTCTGCCTTTTCACCCCATCTTGCTGGCAGAGCCTCCATGCCCCGGGAACATCGCCTGGGCCTTTTCCAGCATCGACACCCTTGGCAGCCAGGGTTTAGTGGGAAAAGTGCGATGCGTGGGCTGTCTCACCCCGAGAGGCCTGGCCCTGCCCAGGCGGCTCCGCCCGCCCGCCCGCTCCCTGGTCGTCCGAGTCAGAGTCCCAGTTCGCAGCCCATGCAATCCTCCTCTACCTCCTCTCTCTACTCCAGTGCCTTCCTGCTGGGGCAGGTTTGGCCCCTGCGCCCTGGGGACATTTGGCAATGGAGACAGCGGTGCCCGGTGGGCGAGAGCGCTGCTGACACCTGGGGGTGCAGGCTGGGAGCTGCTCCGTGTCCCCCAGCCCAGCGTGGTGACCCCAGCATGGCCATCAGGACCGCAGTGTCGGCCGTGGGGTTCGGAAATGCTCCTGCAGCGGCCCAGCTCAGCACGTGCCTTCCCTGCTTTGCAGCAGCCTCAAGCTCAAGCTCGTGTCTGCAGCCGGCCCGCAGGGGGTACGGTGGGCCGGGCCCTTCCCGCTTCAGGCCAGCGCCACCCCGTGCTCGGACTCCAGAGCCGCCCGAGCCTCCTGAGGAAGCAGTTGCTC